CCCGCGCGCCGCCCCCCCGCCCCCCCCCCCCCCCCCCCCCCCCCCCCCCCCCCCCCCCCCCCCCCCCCCCCCCCCCCCCCCCCCCCCCCCCCCCCCCCAGATGAATGATGCTGTCGAGAGAGAAAGATAGAAAGGCCAGGTTATTAGAAGTTATATCGGGTTGAAAGATGGATGCCGTCAAGGTCCAGTCATACTCTGCGTGGGGGGAAAAGAATGTCCAAACGGAGATCCGCAACTGAGGCATCATGGAAGGGAAACTTCAGGCCAGTGGTCCAAGTAAGGGGAGTGGTGGATTATCCGTAAACCGAGCCCGTGTATAATGCTGTACAACGTACACACACCATCGTGCAGCATTGTCGGAGAGAGAGAGAGAGACAGAGTCGTACACTTTAGCAAGCTCAAAGTGTTCCAGCCCGCGTCGTTTGTCGACATCGTGCGCCGAAGAAAACCGGCCGTTCAGCCGCAGCACAGTGGACATTCTCCGGGAAGCATGATGTAACGCTCATGGGGTCCTTTGGAGCATTTGTGCTTCCGGGAACCGTCGACCGAGGTGCGGAAGAAATGTGCACCAGGGTCTACACAAGACGTATAGATGTAGTAGTTCTTAGTGAAGTCGCACATGGTGGGCGACAGTGCAAGGCAGCAAGTATAGTGAGAGCTGCAATGCAGTGTTAGATGCTTGGGCTGGCGATTGGGGGTTGGAAACACTGACCAAGAAGATATGACGGAGAAGAGAACGGAGCTCCTGTCTCTTGTGCTTGTGGGTTGTGATGATGGGCGAGTATGACGGGAGGAAAGCAGATGTGGATGAAGAGAGTATTTCGTCTGGGGGAGGAGTGGTGGGGGACGAAGATGTCTTTATATATGCAGATATAAACAAGGTTGAAAAGAGACGGTGATGGGTGGAGATGAGGAAAGGAGGCTGTTAATCTAGGCGATATTCCCAAGTCGTACGAACACGAAGCCCCCCGGAGAGCGACTGGCACAGGGAATAACGGCGAGACAAGTGCCAGCTCAAGGGCGTCGCGACAGCAATTGGCGACGTTGGGTGGATACGCGTGGTGACGATGGTGGAGGAGGTGGGGGGGAGGGAGGAAAGGGGGGGGGGGGAGTGGAGGAATATATTTAGGCACTTGAGGTGGCTCTATCAACCGAAACACCACAGATACGGGTGGCGCTTATGGATGGGGGAATGTAGCAAGCCTGGTAGGGAAAAGGGTAGAAGAACCTGGGAGAAGAAGATTGGTGACTAGGCCCATCTTAATAGTAGAGCGGCGCCATCCATGGATGTCCGAGAGCAAGCACGTTCGCATCCACAGCGGGAAAGCGCCGTACATCATTCAACGCCCGTTTTGACGGTCACGGTGGTGGTCGAGGGTCGAGGTGATTGACCTCCCCGGCTGGGCGAGAGCACAAGCACAGGGCTCGATCCCTGGTCGTCAGATTCACACAGTGAGTGACCTGGAGAGTGGGCCGGGAAACCTTCCAGGTTGTTTGTTGGTCGGTGGAGGTACTTGGATAGTAGCGTCTGCGGACGGAGCATGCAGTACACATACGCGAACAACCGTGCCTGATTTAGTTACACAGTAGGTACCTAGTACATCTCCGCAAGTACATCTCCGCCAGGTAATTGTTGTCAATGGATGTATGCATGGATGTACAGTACATAAGTACCTAGTATGGATGGGATACTCCCGTCAGTTATCGCCAGGGCTCCCCGCTGTGGTTGTCGCATGTCGCATCTTTCGAGGGTCGGGCGATTGTCCTGGGGAACCTTGATGGTCGATTGGCTGTTTCGCCGTTGAGAGATTTGATCCCTCCTTGAGCCACATGCACTATGCTGCGAGGTAAATCTTGGCCTCGATCATCCCCTCTAGCCCCCCTTGCATTGCATCCGCCGGTCCCCAAACGTTGGGCGGCGCATGGAGGGGGGGATCTTTGGTGGGGCAGAGGTGGGGTGAGGGAGAGCTGAGAGCCAGCGTCAGGGGGGAGTGGGCGGAGGCAAATTTCGAAATCTGCGCATAACTCCCAATGTGGTATACAACGTACAACATGGGTGACACACGAAAGACCTCAGAGCAGGTTCTGCGAAAAAGAGGGTGTGAGTGTGTGGAGTGCAACGTCTTGGGAGCCAAGTCTGAGATACAGGTTAAAGAATGGAAGTGTGCGAAAAAAGAATAAACGGTGGGAGAAAAAGCGTTTGTGAAACAGACTACCCCCTGTCGACGCACTGACGCACTGACGCACTGACAAGAGAACCGCGAACGACATGGCCTCTCTCCTTGGTGTCTCCCTACCGCACTGGTCAAAGCAGACAACGAAGCAGCCCGGCGCAAGCTCCTACAGTAATAACGTTTTCCCCATATAGCATATAATAGCCCGCGGCCAATCTCGAGCCATATATCGATGGGCAGATGACAGCTTTTGAAGTGGGGATTGCAATCTCAGGAATTGCAAGAGATCAGGAAAAACGCTGTAAGGCCATTTTCGCATTTGCACGGATCCTTGGATTGGACCTGATTAAGAATGAATGAGGCTTTCCGGCTTCCGGCTCTTGTCGGGTTTCCCACTGGGGTCACTGACTGACCCCCCCTTCGACCCAATAATTTAGGGCTTGGCGCACGGCGACGATGCTCTATAACGCCCGCCGGTCCTAAAGGCCGAGATGGCCCGAAGGAAGATCGGAGGGTTAATCCTGTGTGGGATGTGATTTGTAAGGAGGCCCTCCAAAATTGCAGCGGTCCAAGTTTTGCCGGTCGCCCAGGTCCGTGGTGGGCTTGCGGGCCAGGGCTGCCGCCTCGAATCTAGTGTACGGATACTGCGCGCTGCGGTACGACAACGAATTCCGGGTAGGTCAAAGCCCACGAGCATGGACTGGGGGAGTTCCGTAGTCGATCAGCCAAGGTCCTTGTCGACCTCTGCTGTTGCGTACTGCGCAGTACGCATACACTATTACAGTGTATGCGTACACAGTGGCAGTTGTCTTCCGTCGGCTCCCCGAAATCGCTGGCTTCAAAAACAACAGCAATTTCCTGATTCGGAAACGCCTGCAGGGTGGATTGTCAGAGCTCCCCCAGGGCTCAGCATTGCCGAAGACGAGGGTTGTTACGCCGAGAGGAAGCGGTGACAAAGCCTGTCCGAGTGACCAAGAATATCCTCCCCCATCCCATGACAATAGCATCCCCGATATTGAGCCGTCAATCTCTGACTACCTAGCACGAGATCCAACATTTTGCGTGCGATTTGGCGAGCTGTGTCATTGTCTGTGATTGGCTGGGCGGCACAGCTATCCTAGCGCTGTCACCGAGCGCCAGCGATATCACAGCCGTTCTAAGCCCGTGAGCACGCGCCCCCCTTTTCCCGCGTAGCTTGTGACTTGTTCGAGGTGCTCAAAACAGCCGTCCAGGTATCTGGAGGCATGCGTAATGGCACGTTGAATACTGCGTATGGAGTATATTGTCTACATGCTCAGTAGTGCACAACTGCACATGTAGTGTAGTTAAGTACTTAATATGCCCCTCCGTGTTTCCCCTGCAGGAGACCATCCATGGCGCATGCATGGGATGTACGGACCTACGTCACCTAGCGTACATACACGACTACCGTGCGCACGTACCATAATCTGCGCATAGTGTGCGTACACCACCAAGACCACTTGCAGTCACCCCACGCTGCATCGTTCGACAAGGTAGGTGCGGAATGTACTGTACTTGCCTGTTCCTTCGTCCGGACGGGAGGATATGAGCCCAGTAGGTGTCAGTGGGCAGCCCGTGGGTGACGCACCCTTTTTCCTTCCCTGTTCATGTGGGCTTCGATGGCCAATCACCATCGGACGATGCCAAACGCCCCAACGACACCCCACGAGATGTGCCGCTCCCAGAGCCGCCGTTCGAGACGAGATGGTGCGCTCTGCATCATGCCGGCGAGATCTGAATCGTCGCTTCTATCTATGTATGCGTAGGTTGTGGCTGTTGTTTTGTCTGTGCCTTATATTCAGGTACGATACATCGTACCTAAGGTACTGTACCTAGGTACCTAACTAGGTAGGTACCGGTGTAGGTATTGATGGAGATAGGTACCTACCTCCTACCTACCTGACCTATACAACGGCTGCATGTAGGTACTTCGCAAGTGACAATCCTGATGCAAGGATGTTGCTCGGCAGTCGTCAAAAAAGAAAAGAAAAGGGGAAAAGGGAAAAGGTAACAAGTCACACCATCAAGTCACAATTACCCGCCTCTTCCTGTTCCTGTTCCCGTTCATTTTTGTCCTTGCCGTATACTCGCCCAGAGTAACTTGCAGTTGAGGTTGCGCCGTGTTTCACAAGTTTGAATTCCTCAGATCTCTCTCGATCTTGGCATACAGGCGGCGTTCGTCCATGATGAGGTGAATTGCTAAACCGGGGAGGAACATTTCGTGTGGTTGGACCTCGAGACAAACCTCCAAATGCGTAGATCTCACCATCCCAGGTATAATCGAGCCAGCGCTAAGCCATTTCAAGATTCGATGACTGTGCTCAACAACGCACGTACATACCATGAAAAGCGCGCAGCTTCGGCATTTGTAGTTTCCTCTCGAAATGATCACCTATTATTAGGTCCGTGTTGTGCATGATCAGCAGATGTGTGTGAAGGAGCTGCCCAGTCCACGCAATAATCAACTCCATACGGATACTGTGTAGAGATATGCCTCCAATTACCTGGTTTCCATTTCGCTCTCAAGGCGCGGGGGTTGCGTCTTCGTGTCACTGTTAGGCCGTTGGACAACAAGCTGAAACGATTTGATCTCCACGTGGGCGGAGATTTCGCTTCAATTCCTTCAATAGGTTTAGAGTGTTTATGGGAAAAGCGTGATTAAAACGGAAGATGCCGATTCCCCCGGCTTTCTTCCCCGCCTCCCCCACGAGCCCTAAACGTCAAAGGGACGAACGGCTACGGAGGTACGTAGTCTCTACCTCCGGAAGGCCCCGCAAGACCAAATGAGAACGGACTGGTTGCATTGGGACGGAGACGGGCTCGGTTGCGTCGGCAGGAAGGTACCATCGGCGATCAACGGGGGGGTCTGAGTGCGTCTCACCTGCGTAGTTGCACGCATCGATACTTGCGTACATGCGCATATATGTACATCTCGATCGGCAACGATGCCGAGTGGCCAAGGCATCTCAAACTCGACCGTCACATCAGGTGAGACAGTTGCTTGCAGGGTCCAGCTTTTAGTACTCTCTCCCATCTCGCCAGCCAGTGATCTACAGTACATCACACTACGCCATTCAGTCCATTCTGACAGCCAGCCAGCCAGCGAAACACAAGCAAAGCACCCTGGCCCAAGAGACAAAACACACAAAACACACAAAACATTCTCAGTACTGGAAGCGCCAGCGCGGGTCATCATCGCCCTCCCACGTGGTGTGGTCGATGGTGCCGATCTCCTTGACCTCCTCGGCGATGCCGTCCCGCCGCCTGTTCTCGCGGCTCATCATCCACCAGAGCAGGCCGCCGACGGCGGCGTTGGCGAGCAGGTAGGCGAGCGCCATCGAGTGGCCGACGACATAGCGCGGCTGGTCCTCGGTGCGGTACAGCTGGGTGCCCAGCACGGCGCCCAGGTTGCCGATGCTGATCTGCATCGCGTTGGCGATGGCCCGCTTCGTCTGGCCCGACACGTTGATCGCCGGCCACGACAGGCTGAGCGCCACCGCCGGGTAGAGCCCCAGCGCCACGATGATGGTGCCCGCGTACGACACCCCCGGCCGCGCCACCGGGTCCGTGTTGGCGAGCAGGATGATGTACCCCACCGCCCCCACGCTGGCCGACCCGATGATGAAGATGGCCCGCTTGTGCAGCCGCTCCGACAGGGTGGCCACGGTGAGCGTCGAGACGAAGGCCACCGCGTAAGGCGGGATTGTCATGAGCTGGGCCGTGGCAGCCGCGTATCCAAGCTGTTTGATGATCAAGGGCTGCATCACTCTGTCAGAAGGTGGATTGATTAGGGGAGGGAGGTAAGGAGACACTGACCAGGAACAGGGAATAGGTATAGAGGGGCAGGCTCGTCGTGTGGAAGCAGAGTCCGTAAAGCCAGCACTTGGGGTCCTTGAGCGCTTTAGCCACATTCTCCCAGGTGAACCCTTCGTTGTGGGTCGCATCGCTGTCCGCAGCAAGGCGCGCTCTGATAAAGCTGCGCTCCTTGTCCGAGAGGAACTTGGCAGTGTCTGGGTAGTTCTCGATGAACCAATACGCCGCAATGGCAACGAGAATGGTCGCAAGGCCCTCCTATATCCAAAGTGTCAGTGTGTCACGCTCGCCGCTATTCAGGGGGAGCTCCATGCTGACCAGAATGAAGATCCAATGCCACCCATTCGGCCATACAACCCTCATGAAGCCGATTCCCTGGTGGCTACCCGTCAGCTTGGTCGCTACCAGCGAACGTCATCCAGCCCATCCTTCAGATCAAACTCACATATGCCAAGATACCGCCAAAGGCACCAGCCAGAGCGGCACCGCTGAAGAAAAGAGAGATCCGGAACTGCCGCTCGCCGCGCTTGTACCACATGGAGAAGTAATAGACGACGCCCGGGAACAGACCGCTCTCCGTCACGCCAAGGAAGAACCGGGCCACGAGGAAGCCGGCGAGGTTGTGGACAACCCCGAGCAGCGTTGCCACGATCCCCCAGACGATGGTGAGGGTCGGCAGCCAGACGCGCGGAGATGTCCGCTTAAGAATGATGTTGCAGGGGATCTACCGTACCGCCGAGATGTCAGTCAGGCACCCACACAAAAAGGGGGTGAGGATCGCAAAAGCCGCCTGACCTCGAACAAGACATAGCCGACAAAGAAGAGTGTCAAGCCGGTGAGGTATTGGTTGCCAGCTGCGGCCATGTGTCAGCTTGCTGTCACTCCCCATCGAAGAAGTCAGAGGTGCCGGACTCACTCATATTCAAGTCTGTGGCCAATCCCTCGATACGCGCATTTCCAACTGGTATGCCAAAGTCACATTAGCCGATGCATGTCTCGACACGTTGACGCGGCGGGGACCATTGGACTCCCTCACCATTGCTACGGTCCAGGAACGAGAGCAGGTAGAGGATGCCAACCGCGGGGAGCAGGTGGAAATCAAGCTTCCGCAGGAGCGCGCCTTCGTTGATGTCGGCCAGAGAACCCGCCTCCGAGTCCGAGTTGCCGGAGTCGGCATGCGGCGCGACCTTCTCGTTGGCCGGCTCGGACGATGTGACCTCTTTGTCGATTACCTCCGCCATGGTCGGCAGTTCTGTCTCGGATGGAATCGCTTTATACCAGCTTGGCGGCTAGTCCCAGGGAAGCGAGAGGCGGAAAATAGTAGGACGGGTAGTTCCTTGTGAGATTGTCCACGAGGTACTACCAGATCGCTGGGAGACCATGCGGCGAGGCGCCTGCCATTTAACCAAGCATGTTCCAGATAGAGAAAAAGTGCCAAGTGCCGATGATCTGCAGCACCTCTCGCAACATTTCAGAGAGCGATGGTATCATTCTCCATGCTGTCCCAATGAGGAATACCCTCACTCATTTGTGGCGTGTGATTGGCTCGTCAGCTGCAAGCCAGGCTGGGGTTCGATCACGACATCGACCTCGGACAATAAACTGAAGATAATAGCGTCAGTACAGAGTAAACGATGTCAAAAACTCAACTTCGCCGCGATAAGCTCTTACTAAAAAATATATCATGACGAGCATATACATGCGGAGACGTGACATCGTTTTGTCTAGTCTGTCGTTGGGGCGTTGCGGGACATGGGCAACCTGGTCATGGCGGCAGAACAACACAACTCAATGTCTCTATAATTGCGTGGGGTAATTCATGGCATTACGTTACGAAATAGTTATGATTACTCTTCCTCTCTACCATTGGAATGGTCTAATCCGTCTCGAGCCACCCAGCGGGATGCCTGTTGAGCCTCGACCCAGGATCTCGACCAAGCGGGCCAGACTACAACTCCAAGGACTCCCAATTCCAGTTCGTCGATAAAGCATCATTCCCACAGTTGAGCTACGGAACTATAACCAAGGTACACACACAGCTTGTCCGAATAATTGCGTTTTGGTTATGCCGCCAAGGGCCAAGGGACACCTCGATAGGGCAGAGTGTAAATCAACCCCTGAGTTAGCAGCCAGGCATCGAATGAAGCGCCGGAAGAAGTGACTATCATTCTTAGACATTTAACATGTTTGCTGGATTAGCGGACTTATCAGATATCTGTATCCCGCCGCATATAAACGGCATGGTTCGAGAGTCTGGTGAAAAGGGGTCAGCTACGTCGCTTCTCGCGTCGGGTTGGGAATGAAAGGGCAGCAGAGTTATCACCTCAATTGGCGTGGCGTAGACTATTCTAACGTGCTTCACCACTTTGAGCCGAGTCTTGGATTATACAGACCGCTGTTTTGTCGGGTTGGGACGGGGTAGTTTCACACCTGAACATGTGTCTCTTTGGTATAATAGACTATAGACTTTCTCCACCGTAACTCTCAGAACCTACCGCGCCTGCGTAACGTCCTAACATTGGACGGGAGACAGGCGGTATGGGAGCTGTAATGTGTAATGTCGATGCCTGGAGTTGCTAGACTCGCAGACGGCCAGGCAATCCAAGCTGTATAATAAGTACGTGGTTGTTGAATACGGATCAAAATGCTGCCCGAACCTTGCCCTCGGTCATTTCTATCTTCATGAGTGGGCCGGCACTGCTGCTTTAACCTGTGCAGTGTGTACGGTAGGTAGGTATGCATCCTATGCTACGCAGCCATGGAGCCTCATCCTGCTACTCTAGAGGAGTCTTTTTTATGTAAAGGACCAACGTAACGATGACCTCAATTTTAAATTCGGCAAGATTGCCGGCTACCTTTTTTTTAATCCGAGCTTGCTAAGGGCGAGCCACTACGGGTGATGCTTGATCAAGTGCGCTGGTGTGGCTGAAGTCCCGACTTATCGCCCGAACTAGAGCGAATCGGGGCATCATAAATCGAATGAGAGCTCTGTCTTTTTAGAATGAGAGAGGGGGAGATCTATCTGACCCCGGGGTGGTGATGGGCAAGAGATCGACTGAATAGATAAAGAATGCCCCTATTCAGAAGTTGATATGTGATTCGGGTAGTCACGTGGTCTAAGCGCCGGAGCTGGCATTACATCCCCTCTCTACATATAGACTTGTTGGAACCCAGCCTATCCTTGTGTTTCGTCTTCATTTTGCACCGCAGGCCTGTCTGACATGCCCCATGGATCGTTTGATCAGGGTTTTTGCCTTGGATTTGCAGCTGGGGCAGCTGCAGTTTTCCTGGTTGCTCAGCTGCCCAGTGTCCTCGCTGCAGCTTTCAACAAGGTGAAGGGTAAGTACTGACGAGTTACCCGGCATCTTGGCTATAGCTAACATTCTATATTCAAATAGCCAGGTCCAATATTGTGCAACATCTTGACAACCGAGGGTGGATCCAGAGGGGCCGAGAAGTAACTGATGACCAGCTTAGCCAAGCTGAGGTCTTGTCAGCATCCAAGCATTCCAAGAAGAAAGTGCTCAAAATCGACTCGGAGACAGTGGTCAAGCTTGCGCCAGATCTTGACATGGATGAAGTTGACAACCTTGAATTCATTCACTCTCGCACCACAATCCCGGTTCCCAAGATGTTGAGCGCCTACGAGAAGGAGGGATGTCAGTACATTGTTATGGAGTTTCTTGAGGGCGAGAAGTTGGAGAATGCCTGACCAAAACTTTCTGTTGAGGATCGCGAATCCATCTGCTCCGAGTTACGCGAATACCTCAGTCAAATGCGCAATATCCCGCCACCAAAAGATTTGATAGGCTCAGTTTCAGGCAGTCCAGCTGTTGACAGACGTTCTTTGGGGGCAGTAAAGCGAGGACTATTCGCCTGCGAGGAGAAGTTCAATGAGTGGCAACTTGGACAGCTGCGTGATAATGCACCTCTTCTCAACCGGGAAAGGTACACTGCAATGCACCAGGCAGATCACAGGATCGTGTTCAGTCATGGAGATTTTGGATTTCACAATATAATGGTCTGTGATGGCCATATCACTGCCATTCTCGACTGTGAATATGCCGGATGGATTGGGACTTTTGCAAGTCGCTCCAGTTCTTGGCAGGGACTGACGAGGAGTATCAATTCTGCAAGAAGGCGTTTGGCAAAATGTATCTAAGCGAGTTTTATATGGATACATGGTTTACTCGAGAGGTCAAGCATGGTGGGTGGTAGGCCAACAGATAATTCCCAACAACGGAGCTCACCAGCTTCAAGACCGCGTGCAACGACTTGGCAGACAATTACCCAAGTAGGTAAATGGTTATCCTTTTTGGGGTGGTGTTATAAATATCTTAAAAAGAAGCTCAAGTAAAAGAAAGAAAGAAAAAGAACCCCCAAAAAACAAAACGACAACGCCAGGACTCGAACCTGGGCTCCCGAAGGAAACAGCTTAGCAGGCTGTCGCGTTAACCACTCCGCCACGTTGCCTTGTTGGTTGATATGATTCAGCCAATAATAATAGTTATTAGCATTAGCACTTCAGGTGGGGTTGCCGGCAGCGGGGACTACCGCAGCTTAGTCAAACTTCGTTCAGGGGTGCGCCACGTCCAGTTCCGTCACTACAATCCAGAAGTGAGGTAGAAAGAGAGTCTCGTCCATGAGTTGGGAAGAACTCGGTCGTGCTCGTCCAGAATATTCTTCCATTGGGGAAGCGAAGGTTCGGATATTTGTTGAGAAGCCATAGTTGCAATGGTGGCGGCTGGCTTAGCTTGATTGGTTGCTTGGGCCTCAATATTTGCGACGGCAGCTGCGAGTCGGAAGCTAGTAATGGTGCCGTGATCAAGTGTCTATGGTTTGGGAGTTGGAAATACATTCTGCATCTCGGCCCTTGCGCGGCGACATCAACCTATTGTATCAGTAGAGCGGTCTGACAGTCTTTATTCTCGCGATACTTGGCTACTGATCCTCATAATCCTCAGCAACGGCTGATTCTGCTCACTATACGGACCGAAGGAGCGGCACTTCACCAGACTTGGCCCATCATTAAACTATTGGCTCTGCTCCAGCGTTAGGCCCAGTCTGGCTAACAGCACCTTCGAGAATATCTCCAAATCTTGATTGTTTCAAGCTGTGTCGATACTGTGTAAAGGCAGTTCAGCCGCAATTTCATTCACATGGGCCACAATGGCATCTCGGAAGCCGGGAAACCCCTGTCAACGCTGGCAGGGGAATCCTTCGTCGCTATTTTCTTCCTCTCTTCTACGCCCCTCTCCCCGTCAATCTTTCGATGACAGGGTCCGTAAAGAATATAGAATAGAGAATATAGAATATAGAATGGAGAATATGAATAATCTGCTCGCCAGGATCCCTCAAGGAGGAAGCTGCCACTTATCTGGTTTCGTTGTTGCTGTTGCTTTGACTCTACACTACGTCAAAGTTTGTGGGGAAGCTACTTGGACAACGGTCTTGGCTAAATATAATGTGTCACTGGTTGTGGAGACTTGGCCCTGGGCCCAACCATCGTATTCTTGATTTCTGATCCCTCAGATGGAAATTCGATACGTTTTCAAGACACCTCCTTCTCACAAACCTTGCAATATCTGTTCCCACTCTACACACGTATGCCTTGGGAACATCCAAGATGCAATTGGGGACAAGTAGAGACCAGCAGTCCGTCTGATTCTGAATAATAGAGCCTCGAAAAGAACATGCGATTTGACCGTTCTAGACTTGACAGAGGTTGAAAAATATGGACGGGTACCGGTCTCCGAGTCTCCAGCTAAGCGACAAACTAGATCTTGCCCATTCCTGGAAGGCTGAAGCTAGGCTTATCAATAGCTCAAACGGCACGATAGTTGCATGTGGTTGATTGGATATCGGAACAGCACGAAGGCATGCTAACCATTCCTGGCGAATCCTCCCAACCACAACAGACGCCATCTACTTGGCGGTGTCAGTGTGTGTGTGCTTGGCCTCAATGCCTGTCATCATGGCGGCCGCGTGCATTGACTATGTGTACAGCAGTCTGCGCTTACGTGCGTACACAGTACCTATCACACAGCACCTACACGTAGTGTCCTCGACTTCCCTGCAAATCGTTCGCTTATCGTGGCCTCCCCATCCTGTCGGTGTCACTAGCGCGCCGCGGCCAAGCCCCCTTTACTTTTCCCCCCCGGATCTTCCAGATCTGCTATGGTACATAGTACACAATGGGCCTAAGACAAGGCATCTATGGTATGTACACATGTCAGTGCGCGGGAAAGGCGAGACAGACTGAGAGAGTGTGCGTCCTTAGCCAGGGTCCACCAGCCGCTAATGTAATCCATACCAAGAAAACGGCCCTGTCGTGGAAACAGTGAAATAGAGATGGGGCGCCCGCACAGCTCCCCCCTTCCCCATGTGTTCCCCCTGCGGACTGTAGCAGCACCGGCCAACGAAACATGTCAACCCCCGAGGAACTGCTCGCGCAGTATGGCGGCCGTGTCGTGCCGTTTTCCTTCAGCCCCGGCTTCGTCGCGCTCAGCTACTGCGTCAGTCTTGTCGGGGCCATGTCGACGCTCGAGCTGATCAGCCGGCGGACTTCACACAAGGGCATCTATAATCAGTACGACTACAGACCCTCTCCCCACCAAGATAGGCAGGTGACTGACTGACTTTGGAAACCAGCGTTCTACTTGTTGGCGCCGCCATATGTATGGGGGGCATTTCAATATGGTCCATGGTAGGTAGTCGATCAGCCCCCCCCCCCCCCCCCCCCCCCCCCCCGGGGGGCCCGCCCCGCCCCCCCCCCCGGGCCCGGGGGGGCGGGGGGGGGGGGGGGGGGGGGGCTGGTG